CCCACCCCCCCCTCATTCTCCATAGAGGGCGAGTAGGTCGTGAAAACGGCCCAGCCCTAAATCGAACCATATGCGAGGGTGATCTCAGGGAAGGTTTTAAGCGTGGGGCCATCGTATCCGTGCCCCCCAGAAGCAGAATATTTCGTGCTGCAGGATTTCAAAGTAAGGGGCTAGAGCGCTCTTGAAATATGCAGGATTCAAATGGAGCTGCAATTCGAAAAATTCCATGTCACCAATTACGGCGATCTGTGCTTTTTCAGGTTGGTTCGGTGGTGAGAATAGCGGACCGGGAGTTTTTCATATACGCTGCTGACCCGTTTACTATGTCTTATGTAAAGTGGGTTGCCTTGGTTGAGACACACGGCCTTTCAGGATATCGCCTTTACGGAAATACAAAAGCTGTCAATGAAAGACCAACTAACTAATTTAGCGTTGGGGGCGTTTCTATGGCAGAGACAATCTGGGCATACAACTTCAAGAACCCATCAAAGTTGATGAACCTGAGGTGCCAATGCAGCCATCCACTTCAGCGAATCCAAGGCCCCACGAGAAGGCTAACGCAGCTTACTCCAAGTACGATAGGAAGAGCGGACATTTGTTTATAAAGGCCACGATTGCAGACATGATCTGCCCTGATGCTTTCGGCAGAGAAGTGCACATACTCTTCTACCCGGAAGACAAATACGTCTCTGTCTTTGAGCCCAAAGGAGACGGGTGAGCGAATGTCTCTACCTCACTGCAGTGAGATTTGGTGTTCCGACCCTTCCCTGCCAAGCTAGAAACCCTTCTGTGCAGCAGCTCGACGCACTGGTTAGAAACGGGTGTTTTCAGGCATAGCACTACATCTGGAGAAAAGTTGCTCCAAAAGTCCATATATTTCAATGAAAGTGCAGGAAGACCCTTCGAAGCCAGCGACTTTGTCATAGGGTAGGTGGCCCAATTTTGGTCGTGCTGTCCTTGTCTTCTTGGCTCTTAAATAAGCCTCACTAAGAGGCATTAGGCCCAGAATCTGGCTTTGTGCAGGTCGACGGTCACCATAAACAGGCAGGTGTTTCGCATTACAGCCGTAATTGACCTTACCGGACGACCGGACCAAGGAGCGGATCTCGAACCGGACCAAGCACGCGTCCTCTTGCACCTCAGACGTTTATGGGACGGTCTTCGTGGGAACGATATCAAATCCGGCCGAATGTTTACTGCCTGCGATGAGGTGCTGTGAAAGAGTACTTCAGCTTCTAAGGCTCACTTTTGCTGCTAGGAGTGGATAATACAATAATGTTGCACGCGTTGCAGCTTATATGAACCGGGGCAACTTGGGTGCTCCTGGAGTTGACTTCTCAGCGATGCAAGGGTTATTTGACATTTCAAGATTTCCAAACTGCATTGGAGCGGTTTGGGTACTCAATATCCGAACAGGTATGGGCTTATTGAGTAACTGAAGAGCTGAAATTCATGTTCATGAAACAGGCGCACAATCGGTCAACATTGACGTGAGTTGCACTTCAGGACGCTCTCCTCATGACGAGGTATTTTGACTCCACTCAAGATGGAAAAGTAGACTACGAAGAATTTTGCAAAGGGATGTTGGAGTTGCAGGGGGCATTCTTGTCCAACAGCCAAAGGCTAAATGAAACTTTGCGCAGTGTGAGGCATTTCCTAGCCGCATGCAGGCTCCAATGGAAGGCACTGGCTTCTTCCCAAATGAGCAGGCGTTAGCTCAGGAGTCCTGGCTCTGTTCTTGCAGAATATCCAAGCATACAGGGACACAGCAAAACTGGAATCGGCAAAGCTCGAAGATACAAAGGCGATTAAGCAAAGCTTCAAGAAACTTCAGTTAGTTGGCGGGGTTGTTAGTGCTCCCATATATGCACTGTTGCAATAATTTATTTCTGTTCGGCATGGCCCGTACTAGTTGACACCCAATACGCATGCTTTTCGTATCTCGTTAGGGGGCGTTTGTACCAGCAGCCACGGCTTCTCCAGTTACTTACCAAGGAGTTCTCTCGATCATCCCTTGGGAGAAACGTTTCTGTAGACGAAGCTGTCGAAGTTTTCAACCGTTGTGGTAAGATTCTTGGCGGTTAGTTAGTGCCCATAAACAGCTGAAAAACTGGTTTACGAGTGCCACTGTGCAACAATAGTAAAAACATTGCAAACTATCCTGGAAAACAGGCTTTGAGCAATCGCGCTCGGAGATCAAAGCTATACTTAAAGAACTGCTGCCGCAAACACAAGACAACATCCTCGACTACATTGATCTGATCAGCGTGAGACACTGTCTCCTTTCTCTAGGTTACTGGATGTGCCTATTTCTGAAAGATGTGACGAAGGCTGGGTAATTTTGTGTTTCCCTGCGCGCTTTTGTATCCTGTCGCATAGGCCTTAAAAGCGACGTGCAGGGGAGTATAATTATCTCCGGTATAAATCAGTTCGCTACGATGACCAAAATGGCCTTGAGGGAAGTCCAATCAAAGTGAATTTCTTCTGGTCACCCGCACAAAACAGTTACAATAACTTCTCTTAGTCTCCAGTTGCGTCGCAGTCACATTTAACCTCTGAGCAGCTTTCAGAAACACGTTTTGAAAGTGATTCATAGCTTTCCAAAGAACTTAGTTCTGTTTGCCATCGGAAAGCCTCTAAAATAAAATCGCCATCCCAGAAAAATTCTTACTTACAAGAATAAAAGAAGATAGGCATCGCAATAAATCTTTTAAGGTGTGGGCAGTGCCAACACACCTGCCGATCTAGAATATTAGGGAGTGTAAGGAGGGACTGTAAGCCCCAGTTCTTGGATTTCTCCGGAATTCATCTCAGCATTCCGGAGACTATGGAACAGCGTCAATAGTATGGCAAGTTCCTTCTGAAGTATTGAATTTCTCTAACGGGATTTAGCTTACATGGCTGCGAATCCGCTGCCGTTTTCCCTCAGATACTTAGTCCAAAACAGTCGTTGGCTTTGCCTAATGCTTAGTTAACATATCGAACAGTTTCTATATGGATCTTCACTTCACTTGCCACCTTGATTTAGTTTGGTGGGGGTTTTGCTCAATATTGTAGGTACTCTGAACGTACCAGACAGCAGCTTGGCAGGTAAAGGATAGGATGCCACTCAGTGTTCTTTCCCCTTACTTTTAGAATGTATTTGGGGATTACTCAAATATCCCTTATGGTAAATAGGAGTAGCGGAACGTGGCGACCAACTCACCGTATATCCATATACATAATACACATACGCCTATGATCATCGGAACGTTCGACGGTAGCTTATTAGTGAACTTTTCACGGCAGAAGTTGTCGAGCAGTATTGTGTGAGGCCCAGCGGTCCTCGTGGTGGTGGGAGTTGCATACTGAAACGCCTACCATTGCCCTCAAAGTATCAGGGCTCTTGGACCTATATTGGCGAGGTCAGCTTAAGCCCTCTAATGTTTAGGATTCACGACTACCACCAATATCCCCAAGGGTAACGCTCTTTCTCCTTCGCCCCTGTTGCAATTATTGATAGGGTAGGGGTCACCTGAAGCACACCCAATGAGGAAGCCAAGGCCCTGCAACGAGGAACGCGGGAGCCGGAGAAAAGCATAATGCGTGTCGTGCTCGTTTTTTTTGTACGGTTTCACGTCATGGGTTACTTTGAGAGATGGTGCCGTTTCAGAATCTTGCTGGTCCGTTCTGATCAGGGTGTGGGACAACTACCGAAAGAAGTACACAAATTCAGTTGCATGCTCTACATCCATGGTATAAGAAATAATTTATCAAAAGGGCGTTTTTGTTGAAATGAGTGCATATGGTTACTGTGGGTTGGCTGGCTCTAGAAAGTTGCCGCCCTTGCCCAGCGGATGGCGGTGACTGTCCGGTGGAGTAGCGCAGTGGATGACGCCTTCCTGCCGTGGCAGGGTGACGTACATAACGAGTCCAAATGCACTTCTATATTTTTCCAAAAAGCAATTTGCAACTTTTACGTATAATTTAGGGTGGCTGAAACATTACTGAATGACCGACAAGTGCCGTGCACGGTTGCTTGTGCAATGCTCTGACGAAAGGGAGCAGTCATAATCTCTCTTGCTAAAATGGACAACCAACCGAGTTGTAACCCGTCAGTTGACGCCACCATTATACATTTGGTCATTGAGGCACTGCAAGCTGCAAGCTGCGCAGTGGACGGCACCGCACACGACTCGTATGGACGACTGTGGGAGCTGGTATCCAGCGACACAGTTGCTGGATCATTCTTTTTAAGGTCCCTCTCTATATCGTTGGGGATAGAACTACCCTCTTGCGTTCTAAATTGCGCAAAAATTGAGGAGGTTGCAGCAAAGATCACTGAGCTCGGGTCAGGAATCTGCGCAACTCTGAGAAATAGGGTTCCCCTGCGTACAATCCACCTACACCAAGGGCACCCCCGCGTGGCAATCATAAGCGCTTCATGCCGCTTGCCAGGAGGAGTGGAGACACTCGGTGACTTGTGGTCAGATATCCTTGTCCCAGGAAGGGATGCGATCACACCTATTCCCACCTCACGTTGGGATGCAGATCTGTTGTACGACCCAGAAGGAGGTGAGGGCACTATTTACGTCAAAGAAGGAGGGTTCATTGAAGATGCAGATGCCTTTGACAATCGCTTCTTCGAAATTCCCCACCATGAAGTAAGCTTACCTGGCACATTCCGACGCAGGAGTGGTCAACTTCACAATATCTCCGACGTTGCTTGAAGAACCATGTTTTCTCAGGCTGCACAAATGGACCCGCAACAACGGCTTCTCTTGGAAGCTGCTTTCGAGGCTAGGGCACCCTTGATGAAAGGCCGAATAAGCCCATCAGATGAGACGGGGGTTTTTATTGGATGCTCGTGCGCTGACTGGTATGTCCTGCAGCCTGATATCCGATAAAGATGTACCAGGAGTAAAACAACTGTCCCTCAACTATGCCGGAAATGGGGGTCGTGAATTAACAATCGTACAGTGTGCCTAATTATGCCAGTAGGCATGTTCTGGGCCAGATTGCTAACTCGAGTTTCCACAATATACCTGTGATTCCCTCTTTGCATTTGCTCAGGTTTCTGGTTCACGCAAAACTTACTGCCAGAGATAGCCCTTCGTGCTTTATTGTAGACCTCCAGCATGCAATGCTGGCAAATCGCATTTCATACTGTATGAACCTGGAGGGGGCGTCAATGACAATAGATACTGCCACATCTTCAGGCATCGTTGCATTCTGTACAGCAGTTAGCCAGATTGAATCAGGCCGCATGGTATGCGCCCTTGCAGGTTCGTCTCAACTTATCATTGCTCCAGAGGTCACAATAGCTCTCTGCAACCTAGGGATGCTATCACGGAAAGGACGATGCCGCCCGTTTGATGAAGCTTCTGATGGTTTCATTAGATCCGAAGGGGTCGTCGTTTTCTCCCTTGTTAGGGAAGACTACGTTGCCGACTACGTCGACGCTAAGGTGGTGTGCCCACTAGCGTATGTTCGTGGACATTCTGTGGTTCACAGTGGAAGGGCGTTCTCTACCACTGCTCCAAGCGAAGGTGCGGAACGCCGTGTCATGGAAGGGGCACTGGCCAAGGCAAGCTTATCTCCTGACGATGTCGACTACATTGAGGCCCACGGCACTGGAACGAGGATGGGGGATGCAGTAGAGGTTCAAAGTATAGCTGCTGTATTTGGAGACTCACACGAACCTGCAAGGCCACTTCTTGTGGGCTCAATCAAGGGGAATATCGGCCACTGCGAAGGCTCGTCAGGGGGTGCAGGAATTTGCAAGGCTATCCTTGTACTCATCAACCGCTGTGTGCCAGGTACCCTTCATTTTAATCGTCTCAGCAGCTTAATAGATAGGGTCCCGAAATACTTTTCTATCCCTCGGACGACAACAAAATTCCCAATCCCTGATAGGCCACTGGTGGTGGGTGTAAGCTCTTTTGGGGTTGGTGGCTGTAACGGCCACGTCATTTTAGAAGGCCCGACTGTAGGTCAGCATGATTTCAAAACCCAGCTGAACGATAAATGTTTTTGGAAGAAGAACAGGTTTCCCTGGTCTCACCTGATTAGCATGCCATGTGGCAGCAATGAAGGGGTTTCTCCCGCGGAATTACTAACCCCTGAGGGTTGTGTTGCAACTCCGACTTCTTCTTTCTGTGGGACAAATTTCAGTCTTATCGGGCCGGCGACAGACCAAGACGCCGGACGGAATGGCCCTGTAGTGTTCACTGAGGTACCCGTTATCGGACCCGGCAATGGGACCAGCCACAAGCGACTCAAAGAAGTTCACCACGAAAATAAGTCAAGCTCCTTTAGCTGCGACAATGGTAGTCTCCAAGCGGCACACGTCGAGTTCGGGACATATTCATCGGTTGGTGAGGAGCCGGATATGCGCCCTAGCTGTAGTTCGCATTCGCCGGGGCGTTCCCCACAACTTCCTGTGGCAGACAGTTCTCCGTATCATAAAGTTCCACCGTCTATACCTTCTGTCCTCTCTCGTGAACAGATAAGGGCAGCAATCGACGAGTCGCTCAAGCTAGCTCTTAACCGCGACGAGCCTCTGCAAGAAGATACTCCTTTTGTGGAGGCAGGTGTCGATTCAATGACATCTATTGGTATCAGAGAAAACTTATCAAAGAAACTCAAAATACAGCTACCGTCAACCATCCTATATGACCATCCGTGCATTGCCCAGCTTGTGGGATACTTGGAGCAAATTTCATCTACACAGGAAGTGGATGCAGGCACTAAGGCCCTCTCTTGTCTGGGACATCCTAATGCACGAAGCGCCATTGCAGTCACAGCTCTGGCTTGCAGGTTCCCTCAAAGCGCTCAGACTGAGTCGGAGTTTTGGGAGACACTCCAAGGCGGTAAGGACTGTATTCAGCACATCCCCCTCACGCGTTTTGACCCGTGGAAGTACAGAGATTCTGGGACAGATCAATCAAATAAACTTTATGTCAGTGATGCTGGAACATATCCAGATATGGCCTTATTCGACAACGCAGCATTCAACATTTCCGTTGCTGAGGCTCACTTGATGGACCCTCATCAACGCGTCCTGTTGGAAGTTTGCCAGGAGGCAATTGCCCATGACCTCCAAAAACGGAGTCTACTGGATGTTGCCATTGTTGTTGGCTGCTGCAACAATGACTGGGTTCGAGAAGCTTGCACCTCACAACAGGAGGCAAAAAGTTTGACAGGGACCGGTGGGGCTGCCTCAATCATTTCCAACAGGCTCTCACATGTGTTCGGATTTTCTGGGCCAAGCGTTACTCTAGACACAGCGTGCTCCTCCTCGCTTGTTGCACTCGATTTTGCGATTAGCTACATGGCAACGCAGGCAATATCCCAAGCACTTGTCGTTGGCGTCAACCTCATGCTAAGGGCTGAAGCCTTCCAACAAACATGTAAAGCACATATGCTAAGCATCGACGGCCGTTGCAAGACCTTCGATGCATCTGCAAATGGCTACGTTCGCAGCGAAGGATGCGGTGCACTACTTCTAAAGGCACTGCCCCGCCAATATGCAGACCCTTCCACCGTGTATGCATGGATTCGTGGGGCTGCTAACAATCATGTAGGCAGAAGCGCCAGCCTGACAGCACCCAATGGCCCTGCCCAACAAGCTGTAATCCGATCCGCCTTGAGAGACGGCCGAGTTCAGTCGCCCGCAGATGTAGCTGTTCTGGAAGCACACGGCACAGGGACGGCTCTTGGAGACCCCATTGAGGTTGGAGCAATTCGCGCAGTGTATTGCAAGGGCTTTGTAGATAGTCCACCCCTCATAGTGGGTGCCCTAAAGTCGCTTATGGGCCATGCGGAGGGGGCTGCCGGCATTGCCGGCCTCATCAAGCTCATTCTCGTGCTCCAACACAGATTAGCTACCC